CCCGCCGTCACCGCGTCCCGGGCGCAGGAGCCTGGCCACACACTGCCCGCACGGGAGGGAGGGGCCGGGGGGCGGGAACGGGGGTGGAGCCTCCACAAGCACCCCTCCCCCCTCCAGGGAACCAGGCTTAGCGAGAGACCCTAAAAGCAGACCCCCCCAGGGGCAGGCCTCCTCACAGACTCCAGGAGCGCCCCTCGGGAGGCCATGTGGCTGACACCCTCGCGGGGGTCCCCCCAGACTCGCCCTCCCCACCCCCCCGCAACCCCAGGGACGTGGGTCCTCTCTCCACGCCGGAGCTGGCCCCCGAAGAGAGACAGACGCTGAGAGGTGACATTATCTTGCTCAGTTCTCCTTCCCAATGGCTCCCCACACACACCAGACAATCCCGCAGAGAAACATTCTGTGGGTGACATCATGTTGGGGGCCCTGGGGGGGAGCGATCCCCCTCTCCAGTGAGAACCCCCAAACACACACACACACACACACATCCCAAAGCCATCTTCTCGGTTGGAGACTGTCCCCATCCATTCATCATCCAGAACACCCTCCCCCCCCCCGGGGGGATATGCTCTTCCAGAGATCACATTTGCCTCCAGGAGAAGAGACCCCAGGAACACATCCCCAAGCCTAGATCCTTCTTCCCCACAGCCCCTCTCGGCGACCCCTCCTCCGTGGAGGTCAGGATTAAAGCCCAGGCCAGCTCAGGCTATATTTGTAAGAGCGATTAGCTGGGAGCTGGGGCCAGGGGGGCGGGAGACAGCGCCAGAGAGTTTTCTCACCCCACCCGCCCTTGCCGGGCTGGAGACTGTCTCAGCCGTCCCCCACCCCACGTTTTGGCATTGGGGACACGGTGGTAGGCCTCCTCTCCTGCCCCTTCCCGCCTCTGAGATCCGGGAGGGCGGGGACCCTGCGCCAGAGCGACCCCTGCTGGGAGACCCGCGCCGGGCACGCGCCGGGCCCGGTGTGGCCTGGAAGCTGGGGTCGCCATGGCCGCACCTTTGCCTGTTGTGCCCCGGTCTGGGCCTCTTCACCTCTGTGGGTGCTCATGGTTGTGTCCTGTGGGTTGGTGTCTCTTGCTGTGGGCGTAGACCGGGCACCCGGGCTGCAGGAACTCGCCATGGTGCTGGACTCGCGCGCTCCTGTCCATGGTGCTGAAAACCCAGGCTCGCGTCAAGGGGAGAGGCCAGGGGAGAGCTGACCCACAAGTAACCTGGTGTAGGCAAATGTGAGGTCCTGAGGGCCTTGGGTGCCTAGGTTCGCAGGAGATACCCACAGAGAGACATGGACAGCGTCAACGAAGTTACTGTCCTCCTCAACGTGTATTGAACACCTACTAACCATGGACGCGTCCTTCCAACACAGACCACACAACGAAGACACACATACACACAAACCCTCATACAACACACACACACACGAGACGCCCAGCAGCATTCAACACTCAGCCCACGTAAGCATCGCCCTCCTCCCTCTCTGACTCTTTGTCTCTCTGCCCACCTCTGTGGGCAGTCTGTCTTTCACCACAAGTTCAACCTAAGGACAAGCACCTGGAGAATCCCACCAGTCCCAGGTGGTCAGCTGGCACGGGGGCGTGGCCTCCAGTGGTCACGCCCATCGCTAAGCCACGACCGGTTCCGCTGCTACTGTTTTCTGGATTTGATCTTTACATGTCTTGCCACCCTTAGACCCCAGTCCAGCGACAAGGTGAGAGGTAGAGGGCACGGAGGTGGGAAGGGACTAGACAGCTACATACTATGCTTCTGCACAGGAGCCTCTAGACCACAGCTGTAGAACCCCAGCTTTCTCACACCCAAGCCTGGTCCTGAAGGCCCAGCCCTGGCTGGCAGGGCCTAAGCCGATTGAGAGCTGGGAGAAGGTGACCGTGAAAAACGCTGTTGAGAGGGAGGGAGGAGGCTGGACAGAAGAGAGGGAGGACTTAGCAGGGGACAGAAGAGGGGACTGGAAAAGCCAGGGTGGTCCTGGAGGACGGAAGGGGTGGTGGAGGGTCAGAGGGCCAGCAGAAAGAGAGAGCGCGAGCTGGATTTTTGGTTTAAGCTGGGGAGAGGTAGCGCTGAGTCCTGAGAAATGGAAGGAGGGGATGTGGGTTTGTGGGGAGGGACTTCTGACTTACAGACAGGCCCTGAGCACAGCAGACTGCCTGAACTTTGAAGGTCACATGGTCACCACCTGGATTAACCACCCATCTTCTGTTTGGGGTGGACAGCCCAGGCTGCCACCTGAGCTTCATAGAAAGAAACAGAGGGGCTGGGAAGGTGGCTCAGTGGTAGAGTGCTTGCCTTGCATGCATGAGGCCCAGGGTTTGACTCCTCAGCACCACATAAGCAGAAAAGGCCAGAAGTGGAGCTGTGGCTCAAGTGGTAGAGCACTCGCCTTGAGCTGAAGAGCTGAGGGACAGCACCCAGGCCCAGAGTTCAGGCCCCACAACTGACAGAAAAGAAAGAAAGATAGAAACAGAGGGCTCCCTCCTCACCTCTTTCATCTCAGGCAGGCATGGTCGGCAGGTATCACAGTCAACCGCACAGCTTGGCCTGGACCCTGCTGCTGATCACGGTATGGATCTTACTGGGGACCTGTGGGGGGAGTCGCCCCCTTCCAGCCAGGCCTTGGGGACACTATGGGCTGGCAAGCCATCTGGGCACAGGCCAGCTGCATCTAGCAGGTGAGCACCCCAACCCTGCCCATCCCCTAACACCTAACCAGAGTTGGAATGTCCTGGAGACTGGATGTGGGGGTAGGAGTAGCCACCTCAGATACTGAGGTCTAGCCTTCAACCAGCCAGGGTTCAAAGCCCAGATTTGCCACTTCAGAGCTGTGTGACCCTGGGCAAGTCAAGAAACTTCTCTGGGCTTCATGTGAACCAAAAAAAAAAAAAGGTTGAAAGAAGACTAAACTCATAGCAGTGCTATGGAGATTAAAGACATGAGCAGTTCTGTAGGTATAATATTCAAACTTGAACTCAGGGTCACCCAAATGTCAGGCAGGTGCTTTACCACTTGATCCAAACAGCTTTTATGCTCAAGTTGGCTTTGAGATGGGATCCTAAGAACTCAGGCTCTTAACTAGCTAGGCTTACAGGCATGAGTGACTGCTCCCAGTTTTCACTGGTTGTTTTGAAATAGGGTCTCCCTTCCTGCCCAGGTATACACTTAGACTGAGATTCTCTTATTTTTATCTTTATTATTTTTCCGTTGTCAGTCATGGGACTTGAACCCAGGACCTAGGTGCTGCCCCTGAGCTCTTTTACCCAAGGCTAGTGCTCTACCACTTTGAGCCAGAGTGCCACTTCTGGTTTTCTGGTCGTTAATTGGAGATAAGAGTTTCATGGACCAGGCACCAGTGGCTCTCGCCTTAAATCCTAGCTTCTCCAGAGGCTGAGATCTGAGAGAATTGTGGTTCAAAGCCAGCCTGGGCAAGAAAGTCTGTGAAACTCTTATCTCCAGTAAACTGCCAGTGCGTAGCTCAAGTGGTAGAGCACTTGCCTTGAGCTGAATTGCTGAGGGACAGTGCCGAGGCCCAGAGTTCAAGCCCCACAAACAACAACAACAACAACAAAAGAGTCTCGTGGACTTTCCTGCCTGAATTGGCTTTGAGCCACAATCCTCAGATCTCAGCCTCCTGAGTAGCCAGGATCACAGGCATGAGCCATCTGACATCCAGCCCATTATTATTATTATTATTATTCCTATTGTAGCTAGTATGGCAGTTATGTGTCAGCAGGCCCAGCTTGAGTTTGGATCTTGCTAACTTTTGTCCCTGGCTGGCCTTGAACCAAGGTCCTGTCTATCTCAGCTTCCTAAGTAACTGCAATCACAGGTGTGAGCTACTTTATATATACACTGTCTAATATCACCTATCATTTCCAGGCAGGAAACCAATAAGAAGCGATCGTCCTACCTGATGATTCTTATACTAGAAGCTACATTTGCATCCTAAGAGAAACAATATAACCTAAAGGTTTTTGCTGTTTTTTGTTTGTTTAACGTCTGGAGAGGCAGCGCAATTATGATCTGCTTTGTTCAGGGTCCTCTCAACCTTACCTGAGGATACAAGATAACACGCAGGCGCCTCCGCTGCCAGGATCTTGCTGCCCCCGAGAGGTGGACACACCAGATCTAGCTGACCCTGAGAGCTGCGGGGCGCCCAGCCCTGGGTGGGTACAGCGCCCCCTCGCGTTTCCTCCCTGAACTCCACCCTAGCTGCCCTGATGGGGCCAGACCCTCCTCCACCCCCACTCCCATGGATTCTGACACGTCTGGTCCTGCCTCACCCCATATCCAGATGTGAATCCTTCCTGCGACATCTCCAACGTGCCCTCCGCAACCGCTTCCGCCTGCTGCTGCTGGGGGTTGGCCAGGCCCAGCCCCTCTGCGCCGAGCTCTGCCAGGCCTGGTAGGAGAGTCGGGGCGCCGGGTGGGCGGGGCCGAGGGCAGGGTTTGAGGGTGGTGTTTGAAGGGGCGTGGCCTGCCTTCCCTAGGGTCGAGGCCTGAGGCTAATAGCTCGTCCAGGGCATGACCTCTGGTGGTCCTGGAGATTTTTTTTTTCTGTGCTGCTATGGAAGCTTGATCTCAGGACCTTGCACTGTCTCTAGCTTGGCCTTTTCACTCATGGTTAGTGCTCTACTACCTGAGCCATGCCTCCAGGCCAGCATTTTGCTGGTTGATTGGAAATCAGGGTCTTTTGGCCTTTTTGGCATGGGCTGGTTTTGAACTGTATTCTCCAGCTCTCAGCCTTCTAAGTGGCTGTTAAGTGCTGGTCCTGTGGCTTGAACTCAGCCTGAGCTCTGTCTCTGGGCTTTTTATTTTTTTATTTTTTTTTATTTGTGACCATACTGTACAGAGGGGTTACAGTTACATGTGCAGGATAATGCGTACATTTCTTACCAAGCATTGCAGCCTCCTCCTTTGTTTACCCTTCACATCCCTTCCCAGCCTCCCCCCTCCCCCCTCTCTGGGCTTTTTTGCCTAAGGCTGGTGCTCTACTACTTGAACCACAGCTCCACTTCTGTCTTTTTCATTGTTCACTGGAGATAAGAGTCTTATGGTTGGGGCTGGGAAGGTGGCTCAGTGGTAGAGTGCTTGCCTTGCATGCATGAGGCCCTGGGTTTGATTCCTCAGCACCACATAAGCAAAAAAAGCTGGAAGTGGTGCTGTGGCTCAAGTGGTAG